GGGCAGGGCTGGGGAGGAGCAGGTGCTCGGTGAAGCCCAAGCAGCTCAGCTGGTTCTGGGAAACACTAACTTCAGAGGCAAAGGCCCTTCCCAGGTCCCCAGTCCCAACACTCACAGAGGACAAGTAGTCCCGCAGCCAGGCCCGCCGGCAGCCCCAGTCCTGCCGCAGCTCCTGCAGGGCCCCCATGGCGGCCACCTTGGCCTGGATCTGGGCCATGTCTGAGGGGGGGATGTTCTTCACCAGCTGCCGCGCCCGCCACCTGGGGAGACAGGTGCTTGGATGGGCCTCACCCTCCCCCACCCCGGGTCCTGCCTCTCACGTCCTTTTCCCGCAGGAGAAGGCAAAGTCCCCCAGCCTCACACCGGCCACCCTGGTGTCCCAGCCACCCCTCCTGCTCTGAGAATGCTGTTTACTCTGTGCCACTCAGCCTGGAGAACTCCTACTCTGCCTGCAAAGCCCCACACAGGTTTCCCTGACTCCTAGCCCCGGCCGCCACCCTCCCCTGCAGGCCACTCGTGAGGAACCGGAGGCCTGTGACCTCTCCGAATGCCCAGGGTGGTGTGGGACCGCAGGGCTCTAGTAACAACTGCGGGGCCTGGGCAGCTGGGCTTTCCCCGTGCTTTCCAATGTCTCCAGCCAGCAGTGCCGGGTTCAGACAACTGAGGCCAGGTGTTCACTGGGTACTAGCTGGGTTGGAAAGGGCGAGGGGGCAGCCGAGGGTGGTACCTGCAGAAAAGCGCGTGGCAGGTGTCCTGGAAGGGCTGCAGCACCGCTGGGGGCTGCGGCCAGACGAGGTTGCGGCCATAGAGCGGGGGCTGCCTTGCGTCCTGGAACCGCCGCTGCATCTCTGCCAGGTGAGCGCACACCTTGTGCCTCCGGAACCAGCGCATGATAGTGTAGACGGCCCGCAGTCGCCGGCAACGCCACCGCGCCAGGGTGCCCCGCCAGGCCTGTGGGGGCCAGGGAGGACCTGGTCAGGCCCCCGCCAGGCCCCGTCCCGCTCGCTGCCCACCACGGCCACCGGCCTGGGCAGCCCCTCTGCCCTACACACTGCCTTGGAGCACAGGGTGGGGCTCGCCCGACCCTGGCTCCGGGAATCACCTCCACCTGGCCTTACCCCAGCCTCTGCTCAACTCTTGGGAAAGAGCTGCTCACCCGATCCAGGTCTTTTAAGCTGAGACCCCCCCCACACACACACACACCGCTGGGGACTCCCAGGTGCCCCCAAAGAGAAAGCATGTGACAAAGGGGTTTGGGGGCAGACACAGCCCATTCCCCACCTATGAGCTGTAACTTCCAACTGTCCACCTGGAATCTGACCTGTCAGAGACCTAACCCCCTAGGAGACCCCTAGATGGAGAGGCACCCGGACTGCAACCATCAAAACCCAGACCACAAACCCTGCAAGGCAGGCAGCCCAGGGGACGCACAGATTGAAGCAGACTTAAGTAACGTCACATGGATTGCGACGTCGGGACGGATTGGGACAGACAGGAGGCGACCGGGAAGCTGACACGGGGGCGTGTGGCAGCAACGATCAGTGTGAACCTGCGAAACCCCGTTTGTTTCTGGGAACAGTGTTGTGTCATAGTCTTAAAAACAATGCTCAGCCCGGCCAGTGTGGCTCAGTTGGTTAAGCATCATCCCAGGCACCACGAGGACGCCAGTTCTATTCGGGGTCAGGGCACAAGCCTGGGTGGCGGGCTCGACCGCCAGTAGGGGCGTGAAGGAGGCAGCCGATCGTTGTTTCCCTCTCACTGATGTTTCTATCTCCCTCTCCGTTCCTCTCTCTAAAAACCAATACATATATATTTTTAAGATTAAAAACAAACAAACAATGCCTATAGGTTAGAGGAAGCAGCAGAAGTAACGGCCGTGTGCCCTGCATCGTTTCTGATGGGATCTGGGCGTCCACAAGACGTAATAGGTAATAGCGAGGCACTTGTGGAAATTCAAATGTGGCCCACATGCTAGATACTCAGATAGGTTCCATTTTACCCGTGTCAGAGTTCTTGAGCGTCAGTGTGGCCATAAGGGTGAATGCCCGTGACCTTAGCACGTGCCTGCTGGAGTATTTAGGGGTGGCCTTGCTTTATATGGCTCAGGAAAAATGCAAATCTGTACACATCTGAGCGTCTGCATGTGGGTGTGAAGAGAGTCAGAGAGGCAGACATGGGGTGGGGCGCACGGCCTAGCGAGCCAGGTGTACAAATCGTTTGGCTTTTCTGTGGGTCTGAAATGTGAAAAACAGAGGCTGTGGGGAGAGGTGGAAAATCCACTGTCCTCAGGAAAATCACACTGAAATGATGACAAAGGAAATGATCTGCTTCAAAGTAACTGGGACAGAGGTGGGGCGACTATGCAAAACCACAGTGGTCCCCAGGTGACAGTGGACGCCGGGCAGCAGGGTGGGAATTTGGTTCACTGAGCCGCACGCTTTTCTCTAGGTTTGAAATCTTTCAGAATAAATAGGAGAAAGGAGGGAGGAAGGAAAGGGAAGGAAGGAAGGAAGGAAGGAGGGAGGGAGGGAGGGAG